AATGGCGTCAAGTCAAACGAGGGTCGTGTCGAGGTTCTCTACTCTAAAGAAGGACTGGGTGAAAGCTGGGGAACAGTCTGTGACGACCAATGGGACTTGGACGACGCGAAGGTAGTATGCCGTGCACTGGGTCTACCGGACGCTATAGCTGCTACAAGAGAAGCAACTTTTGGCCCAGGAACTGGGAAAATATGGCTTACTTTGGTGGGATGTGACGGAGACGAAAACTCGCTTGAAGAGTGTTATTATACTGACTACCAGCGTGTGATCTGTAACCATGGTGAAGATGCCGGGGTGGTGTGTGGTGAACCAAGCGGTATGACTCTTAAAAATAGAGTGAAAATKTTATTGGTACCGTATCCTAGGAAGTGGGCGCTCTGATTGGCTGRCGCGCGGTCCTGTGTTATAATCTACCCCGATCACGTCTGTATATAGAATTATATCACTAACGGGCATTTCTTCATTTAAAGGACCTAAATTATAGTTACAAAAAAGTCGGTAAATATGACACCAAATTTGGACTCCATGGCGGAAACCTGTTTTAACGGTACCCTTGAAGGGGTTACCCCTTTTCCTGTTGGAGTCTTTATCATAATTTAGTGCACGAATTCTTGGCAATTTCCTAAAACCCRTCTTTTCATATTAAAGTTACTAGTATCACCGTCACGAACTGGACTGGRGTGCTCACGAGCCCGGGTTATCCAGCACAAATGGGAAGAGGACAGTACGAATGGACTTTCAATATTCCTAATTCGCAATATGAACTTGTTGTGATTTGTTTTGAAACCTTCAACATCGATCACGATTTTGGAGCTACCCTGTAAGTACTGGAAACCTCTTTTCTTGCATAAGATCCTTGAGCACGGTGTATATCTTTGTATACACATATTTGAATTGACCTTGTCGGTTTGCAAAAGATGATGTCATCAAAGCTAATACCAAAGAGAATTACAGACAACTCAGAAACTCAAATAAATTTGCGTAAATATGTTATTTAACTAATCAAAGAAAAAGGGTCATTTTATTTAAACGCCCTCTCGCAGTATGTCGATATTAAGGCTCTTTTTAAAAGTCTCACTGTATAGAAGAATGAAGAACCGAACCGAACTGAAATACTTTGAAAATGTATACAGTCAACTCTCGCCTTACGGAAACCCCACTACAACGGATACCTCGGTATTGCGGACAATAAAATACTGAATCCCCAGCGCCGTAAAAAATACGAAGAAATGACTGAAAGTAACTCTCGTTACTACGGACTCTCGCTACTGCGGACACTAAATTACGGTCCCGGGGGTGTCCGTAAAAGCGAGAGTTGACTGTATTGCTTTATATGTATCTACTTATTTTTGCTGRTATTTTAATCAGTGACAGCCGCGTTTACGTCGAAGATGCCAACCAAGAACGAATCCCAGTAAATGAAGGGGATGGGAAATGTGTCCACATTATGAGCAATGTAGGGAAAATCGTCTTCTACTCACCGCTGACATCGCTACCCGATTCTGATCCCAGAGGAATCAAGATTCGATATGCTATAATCGAAAAGGCATCAGTAAAAAGTGAGTATATTAGCTATAATCACTGCCCGATTTCATACCGTGAAAGACTGGGAACAAATCCCTTAATTCGCACGATGGTGAGATAAGACGTATATTGTAACACCGTAAAAAATAGGTGACACCGTAAAAAAATAGGTGAAATAACCTACTGACGTTTCGGACATTAATCCTTCGTCGGAGTAGAGAGATTGAGCTATAGGTAAAATGTGAGTTTATATAATAAGAGTAGCAAAGAAAATAGACCAATAGGAGCAAGGTAGGCATGGTAACGTGAAATAAACAATAAAAAGCTAGACAAGAAGCATTAGACAAAAGAATAAAATATTGCRCTGTAAATAAGAAACTCACAAAGTTTTGTGATTTCAAAAATTCTAGATTTTACAAAGAAATGCATGGGAATTTAGAAAAATCCAGGCAACAACTAGCATTCTATATATTTTTTCGGAGATTTTAGCGTATTTGAAAGGCTGTAAATCGTTTAATATCAACCTGATCAACGCTTAATTCGGACATTTAGTATTTCTCAATACGTCCTTTCGTTCTATATTGGTTGTATTAATCCATCATGTCAAATAAGGGACTTGTAACCTCCCACGGTATGAAATCAGGCAATGGGGACTGACACTGTTTCCAGACAAACAGCTTTTGTAATCTGTGTACTCTAGCTATGAAGGCATCTTATGAAGGTAGATTGTGTGTTTATACAAAATATAAAAAATATTTTTGAGTTTTTATGTCAGGCTTTTAATCCGAACTTGTAAGTGTAAATTACCCTATTTCATTATGACGTCACAGATGCTCAAAAGCAGTGGAAATTGGTACCATGCATTCAACTTTATCTCGTGTTTTGATAAATGTTTTGTATTAAGAATTGGTCATGTACTGATTTTATTTGATATACGGTCACTCTGATCCTATCTGACCATGAACCGTAGCGTCTAAACAAAAGAATGTTTTGATGTGACGTCATAATGAAATGAGGCTATGTACTTCAGACCAAAAAATACTTTTAACTATGTTTGATGTTGCAAGTCACACTGAATCCCAWGCAGGATGCATGCATCCCTAACTGTTTCTTATAATGTGGAATTGTAAATCTTGATAACCAACAATAGCAAAACAGAGCGCGCAAAATGGAGTGCGCACGTAATGAAATTGCGTTCTGAATTGCGTTTATTTTTTTATTTAAAGATGCTTGTAAAGGATGGGATATTMATGCTAGTGGAGGAGCTGGCCGTATCGAAATGTCATGGAGCACTCCAGAACCCAGCTACACGTACATTGTTGCTTACAATTCTACGCCGGATTCAATCAACATAGATATAACGAATTCAACTGCTGTTACTTTTGAATACTTGGATGTAAAGACAACGTACTCTGTCTACGTGCTAGCTCTACCTCTGAAAGAAGACAATAAATGGTATTTTTGCACCAAAAACGTGTTAACTAATAAAGGTAGGCTAAAGGGAMAAAAACTTTGTCATCAATTGTCAAAAAACTCTTATTAATTTAATCTTATTAATTTTAGATCGAACTCGTCTCTACGGTGGTGCATCACGAAATCAAGGGTACTTAGAGGTTTATGAGGATGGTGCTTGGATTGATGTATGCGATGATTCAGATTGGGGACTCAAAGATGCGACCGTTGCATGTCGTTCTTTTGGAATGAAAGGGCCTTCTTCCCTCTCAAATGATTTTGAGCGAGGAACYCAGACAATATTTGGCACCAAAGATACAAGCAATCAAAAAGGAATGTGGTTCTTACGATGCGAAGGAAATGAAGAATCTCTTCAGAAATGCCCAATTCCATTTTTGTGGAGGAGTCCCTGTCGTGAAGTGACAAGTTTAGTTTGTATACAAGGTACTTTCAAAAGTTATAAACCTCATAGATTTCCATGATATTCACGACAGCGCACATTAATTGATCTAGTCATTTGTGTGAAGCTGACTAGCTCGTGGCTGGGAAATGCACCSTGTCATATCTGAGTATGTTTGTCCACAAAATGAAATTCAGGTTCTCTGTCACACTCAAGCGCATTGGTATTATTACTTTATAACATGGTCACCGCTAACGCAACCTTATATGAAATACAACTACCAGGCTGAACAAGATGGCCCTGGCGAAAACGTGATTAAGACCGCCTMTATAGGTTTTCTATCTGCCCAAAMAAAATGCTAAAAGAGTTATGTACTACCATCTCAATTGATTCATATTGAGATGTTAGTAAGCATCTTCAAATCTTTTCACAGATAAAACGACAGCTGCTCCTGCAACAATACCAACAACTGCAGCATCTACTACTTCATCATCAATAAGAACAACAGAATATTCCACTATAACATCTACTGAAGGAGTAACAGAATCTGCAACTGATAAAGCTACTGAAGGAGTAACAGAATCTGCAACTGATAAAGCTACTGAAAGAGAATCAGAATCTTCAACTCCTTCACCTACTGAAGGAGCAACAGAATCAGAAACTGACTCACCAACTGAAGGGGCAACAGAATCTGAAATTGATAAAGCTACTGAAGGAGCAACAGAATCTGAAACTGATTCACCTACTGAAGGAGCAACAGAATCTCCAACTGATAAAGCTACTGAAGGAGTAACAGAATCTGAAACTGACTCACCAACCGAAGGAGCGACAAAATCTGCAACTGACTCACCAACTGAAGGAGCAACAGAATCTGAAACTGACTCGCCAACTGAAGGTGTAACAAAATCTGAAACTGACTCACCAACCGAAGGAGCGACAAAATCTGCAACTGACTCACCAACTGAAGGAGCAACAGAATCTGAAACTGACTCGCCAACTGAAGGTGTAACAAAATCTGAAACTGACTCACCAACCGAAGGAGCGACAAAATCTGCAACTGACTCACCAACTGAAGGAGCAACAGAATCTGCTACTGACTCACCAACCGAAGGAGCGACAAA